GGGCAGTGGGAGCAGCTTGCCCCCACAACTCTGGGGCCGTGGGGGCGGTGCCCCACAACTTTTCATAAGGCCAGGGGCAGGAACCGTTGGGGCAGGGCAGCTTGTGTCCTCCCCAAATTAGTGGTTGTGGGTCTCAAAGGAAGAAAGCTTTTAAGTGAAAAAAGTCCACCTCTATCACTGGCTCGGCAACTCATTTGGCAGATTAAAACCTTTATTCCAGGTTGCCAAAATGGTAGTTCCTTCACTCAGGTGACACGGAATATCGGAAACAATATCTTTTAGCTTATTACGAGCGAGCGAGCGCAGCGAGCGAAGCGAAGTCTTTTTACGGAGCGAGCGAAGCGAGCGGAGTCTCATACTGAATTAAAGGAAACAGTCCACTTTCCTGAAATCAGTATTTTGCTATTGATTTATGATTTTTTATGCTCAAAATAATCATGAAATAAAATAAAACCTTTTTGTAAAAACAATTATTTTCTTTATTTTAATATAGGGCGAACTATATTCTATGTAAAATAATGTTTGACGCGGAAGCTTATTACGCATTGACCAATCATATTGCGTAGCTCAAACCTACGAATACTGCATTGGCTGTAAGCAGCACGCTGATTGGCTGGCGATGACGTGGCTGCATTCCTGTGCAAGGCACGCATTCCTCTACAAGGCACTCTTTTCGGAACGAGAAATGGAATTTCTTCGTCTAGGGTGATCGTTGAGCCGTAAAAGCTCCTGATTTGTGCTAGTCTCAGCTCAAGCTACGAAACTGCTATTCCAGCTCAAAACCCCATGTTAAAAGTGAACTATTTCCTTTAAGGGAAAATCCTGAGTATGAGCGGCCGGCCGGCCGTGGGGACGCTCTTCAAAAGCTAATATCTTAGGAACGGGACATCCGATTGACAAGCGGTCTTCTTTACTGAATGTCACTTGGACGTAAAAGTTCTGTGGTGTGATGGCCACCATGCGTTCTTGCCAAACACCGCACGTGGCGCGTGGTAAAGTTGGACATTTTTTAAGAACCCCCAAAATTGCAACCTCAATAACGGCACAACGGTTGGGCCGATTGAATTGAAACTCGGTACACAGTTAGGTCTCCATCAGATAATGCATCTGCATGTGTTAAGGTTGGGGTGCTACAGCGGTAGGCAGACAACTGAACCAGTGACAACTGAACCAGGGACAACTGAACCAGTAAAACTGAACCAGGGACAACTGAACCAGTGACAACTGAGCCAGTGACAACTGAACCAGCGACAACTGAACCAGTGACAACTGAACCAGCGACAACTGAACCAGCGACAACTGAACCAGTGACAACTGAACCAGGGACAACTGAACCAGTGACAACTGAACCAGTGGACAACTGAACCAGTGGACAACTGAACCAGTGGACAACTGAACCAGTAGACAACTGAACCAGTGACAACTGAACCAGTGACAACTGAGCCAGTGACAACTGAGCCAGTGACAACTGAACCAGTGACAACTGAACCAGTGACAACTGAACCAGTATGACAACTGAACCAGTGACAACTGAACCAGTGGCAACTGAACCAGTGACAACTGAACCAGTGACAACTGAACCAGTGGACAACTGAACCAGTGACAACTGAACCAGTATGGCAACTGAACCAGTATGGCAACTGAACCAGTGGACGACTGAACCAGTGGACAACTGAACCAGCGGACAACTGAACCAGTGGACAACTAATGTCGTACTGCGCTGTATAGGTAGGTATAAGGTAGCGCGTGACTGGACGGACGGTCTGTGCCAATCTGCCGGTCTGCCAATCATAGGCGGCGGAACGGGGAGGGCACCGGGGCACCGTGCCCCCCTTTTGATTTTGGCATTTTAACATTAGCCCTATGGCCTATGGGCGTTGCATGGAAAGAATGGGACCAAAAGTCGGCAGTGCCCCGCCTTAATTGTAGGTGTGTCGCCGCTACTGCTGCCAATTGATCTGTGTCCGATCTATTATAGTGTACGTCCGAGAGCCGTACGACGGCTGACAGGGCTGACAGAGCCTGGTGGTCGCGAACTGGTTTGGTAACCGTTACGCCCACCTGGGACGCCCGAATAGTTAGCAACGTATAAATAATATTCACTTTGATGGCCTAACTCGGGGCAGACAGGGCACGCAACGTGGGCTTGGCAGAGTTCAGCCCTCCTGGGCCAAGAGGAATCTCCGGTATATAAATGGAAGTCACTGCTCGGGCTAACATCGGGCTTACGCCAAACGTCGCACAACTAGGGCTCAGGGCTAAACAACGGCTTTCCTGAGCTCGCCGAGAGGGCATATACCTCCGGCAGAGCATGGGCTTTAGTCGGCGTTTTTGTGTCATACGCCGACTTTAGTCTTTAGCCCAAGCGCTAGCCGACTTTAGTCCAAGCGCTAGCCGGCTTTAGCCCGACTAAAAATCTCGGGCAAGCCGCACTTCAGCCTGCTTGTGCCCGGAGTAAAATTGCTTGCTGGGCTACTGGCTAGTGGTTCAGTTGTCACTGGTTCAGTTGTCACTGGTTCAGTTGTCCATTGGTTCAGTTGTCCACTGGTTCAGTTGTCACTGGTTCAGTTGTCACTGGTTCAGTTGTCACTGGTTCAGTTGTCACTGGTTCAGTTGTCACTGGTTCAGTTGTCATACTGGTTCAGTTGTCACTGGTTCAGTTGTCACTGGTTCAGTTGTCACTGGTTCAGTTGTCTACTGGTTCAGTTGTCCACTGGTTCAGTTGTCCACTGGTTCAGTGGTCCACTGGTTCAGTTGTCACTGGTTCAGTTGTCCCTGGTTCAGTTGTCACTGGTTCAGTTGTCACTGGTTCAGTTGTCCCTGGTTCAGTTGTCCCTGGTTCAGTTGTCACTGGTTCAGTTGTCCCTGGTTCAGCTGTCACTGGTTCAGTTGTCACTGGTTCAGTTGTCACTGGTTCAGTTGTCCTGGTTTAGTTGTCACTGGTTCAGTTGTCATGGAACCGCTACAGCACGTGCGCACGTGCAGGGGGCGCTCCCAGATCTCGAGAACGGCTGGGCCGATTGCGCTCAAATTTAGTACACGGTTGGGGACCAGTTAGTAGGGTGCCGTGCAAAAGTCAGTTTGAACCCCGCTTGCACGTGCGCACGTGCAGTGTGCCGCTTCCAGATCTCGAGAACGGCTAGGCCGATTGCGCTGAAATTTGGCACATCGCTAAAGACCAGTTAGTAGGGTGCAGTGCACAAGTTAGTTGGAGGTACCCCCTCGCAATTTCGCACGTGCAAGGCCCATCCTCTCGCTCGCTCCGTTGGTCGCCCAAAAGGCGTTTTACTGGTCAATATAAGGGAAAAATCTCAGTAGGTATGAGCGGCCCGGCCCGGCCCGGCCCGGCCCGGCCTGTAACGCTTTTGAGAGGCTTATATCTCAGCAACCGCTGGACCGATTGGCCTGCGGTCTTTTTTGCTGGGTAGCCCCATCCCTTCTACCCCGTCATTGACTACTTTTGATACATCTCAGTGACCGTCGTGCAGTACGTGCCACGTGAAAAGCCAAGGGTGTTCAAGCTGTTTTGGAAAAGTAGTAATTTTGAGAGGCTCATACCTCAGCAGCCGCTTGGGCGATTGTAATTTTTGTAGGGTAGCTGCATCCCTTCTACCAAAGGTCGGATACTCTTGAATCTTGATCTATGTGAGTGACCCCCACTGCACGTGCAAAATACAAAAAGAAGAGGTGCCAAATTTGTTCCCATTTCAATAACTCGGTAATTACAGGGGCGATTTCGCTGAAACTTGGCATACAGGTAGGCACTCACTAGGCAATGCATTCCCATGTATTGCGGTCGGGGTGCTACTGCACGTGCGCACGTGCAGGGGGCGCTTCCAGATCTCGAGAACGGCTGGGCCGATTGCGCTCAAATTTGGTACATGGTTGGGGACCGGTTAGTAGGGTGCCGTGCGAAAGTAAGTTTGGACCCCGTTCGCACGTGCGCACGTGCAGAATGCCGTTTCCAGATCTCAGGAACGGCTGGGCCGACTGCGTTCAAATTTGGCACACTGCTAGCGACCGGGTGCTTTGCACAAGCCCGTTGAAACTACCATCTCGCCCTTCCGCACGTGCAGGGCTCACTATCTCGCAGACATGGGCACGGATCCCAGACCACCAAACACGAAAATCAAGATGGCCACTAGATTAGTGGTCTTTAAGCATGGAATTATGGTGGAAAACATGGCTAATAGATGCCTCTCAACGAACCAACTATTTTGCATTCCCTCAGAGTTCACAGTTTTAAGAAAATCCCTCAAGATCCATCTCGGATCCATGGCCACGAATCATGGATCCGAGATGGATCTTGAGGGACTTTCTCAGAACTGTTAACCCTGAAGGAATGGAAAATAGTTGGTTCATTGAGAGGCTTCTATGAGCCATGTTTTCCACCATAATTTCATGCTTGAAGACCGTCAATCTAATGGCCATCTCGATTTCCGTGATTGGTTGTCTGGGATCCGTGCACATGTCTGCTATCTCGCTCGCTCGTTCTTCGCCCAAAGGGCGTTTTACTGGTGTAGCAGCAAATTTATGTCTGATGAACGTTGCAGCTAATTAATGGTCAATAATTTAACAACCTTGACAACCAACGCTGGTGTTCAAAAATGCGTGCTTACATGCATTTGCAAATGCTTTTGGCCGAGACTTGTATTTTTCCCAGTGGCAGTGGCCAAATCATAGTCATCCAAAAATAAAAAACAACCTATGGGATTTGGGGACCTTTCTCTTTCTAAGCATATTTAATTATGTTACCCGACAACCAAAGGGTCTTGTCATGAAAATATTTACGCAAGCAGAATATGTAACTATAATCCAAAAAGAACACAATTAAATTTTTGAGTTAGTAGATGCAGTAACATCTACTGATCGGATGCCAATCATTCCTAAACGAACGCCGGCACATCACAAGGTACCTCGCTTTACATCGTCTAAATTTTGACATGCCGACCATTCTTGGTGATGACCCCACACTAACAGACTTGGTACTCGACTTCATAATAAACTCGAAACTAGTAGAAGAACTCTAGCGCGATGACGACGTAAAGGTTTTTGCAGACCCGCACCTCCCCCTGAGCCTGGAACAGCGGCCGGACTCAGAGACGGGAGTATGTCGTTGATACTGTGCCCGAAAACTCCAAAAGATCCTTGACCCCAGGCCCTGAGCTCAACGATCGGGAGCGATGTGGCCGGGTCGGGGATCGCAAACAGACACGGCACAGTTGCCTGAAAAGGCGACCGGAGTCCACCTCGCCCCATACACACGCCTTCGAGCTGCGAAGCGGCGCTGCAACGTTCCTGGCCTCCTCAGCTGCTTTAGCATCTCTAACTTCGGGATGAGGACAACCAGCAGGTAAGCCCTAACGTAAATAATAGGGTTTTCCCCACGCACATGTAATCCGAAGCATCCCCCCCAAATCAGCCGAGTTATTTTGCAATTGGCCCCTCTTTACCTTTTGAAAGTTACATGTGCGTGGGTTTCCCTATTTTGCTATTAATAAAGTGGCCACCGGTCTCACTTCATGAGCCGGGTATAGGGGTCACCTCCTCGCGAGGCGAAAAACGAAAGTTGAGGCCACTAAAAAAAAAAAAAAAAAAAAAAAAAAAGATGCTAGATGCGCTGAGGAGCTGAGGTGAGTTGCCGCTGGTTGTGGCTTGTTTATCGTCGTTCTAGGGAGTGTTCTAGGGGAATATATTGGATTAAAAATAAGATTATTTCGTCCAGAAGTTTTCTAGAACGACTTTTAGTAGAAAAAATCTGAACAATTAAATGCGATTTCTGTCGCTTTGCGCCGTAATTGACACAACCGCGGCTTGTAGCATGGGGACTAGCTTGGGCACCAGCAGCTTGTGCTATATCCACAAATATGTCCGTTATTTATCCAGAGCATTGTACATTTTGGTTTGCTCTATTTTCTTGATTGTTTTTGTCTGATAAGTATCAGTTTAACACTCAGCAGAATAGAGATAGGTATGTTGAATTTTGTTTTGGGGATGAGTTAATACCTACTAGGTTCCTAGTCAGTTGGGGAAACTGCGAGGAGCCAAACAAAAATTGGATTAGCCAATCAACGGCTGGAGTGGGCAGGGCGATGACCATATATGGTCATAAAATCAGACTTCATCTTTTCAATGAATCCTAGCATTCAAATGAAAAAATAAGGCATAAGAATGTTTTTTAACCACACAAAGCCTACACTCACTCGGTGCATAATAATTGGCGGCTCTAAATCGCAGAGTTACAACGCAAGGTCAAACGGTGATTGGCAAATATGGCGGATTGAAACAGATGCGTCAAAAAATGTTAGCAGTACCGTGGTTAAAAAATGTTATTATTTTCATTATTTTATTTATGGTTTTTCTAATTGTGGTTAAGTTACTACTTTAAAATTAAATATCTTTGTTTATTGTAATTAAATTAAATCTTTTTTAACAATTTTCTTTCAAAACACCAATCCATTTATTGAATGGCCAGCTGATTGTGATGCCCAGAACCTGCAGAAAAGCCGTTTTCCTATCGCCATTTTCGAGTCAATTCGCCGAATTTAATCAAAGCACGCTAATTCCTAGTGAAAAATTGAAGCCTTTTCTCTCCGATAGGTGGACGTCATACCGCAAGCACCGGCTTGTTATACCGTTTTTCATCCTTAGTAGCGGGGGCTGCATTTCCTATGCCCCTATATGGTCATCAAAAGTCCATTTATTGACCTATCAATTTTTTATCTTCGCCTCGTAGTTTCCCCAACTGTAGTCAACTTCTTATTCATACAAGTTCAGTTATTCATACATCCAAGTACAAGTTAAGCTAAGCAAACTGTAAAATTGGGACACGGTTAAGTAGCATGTTTTGTGATATAAAAATAGAATAGGTCCTGCGTAAAATGATGCTACCAGAGCTGCGGTGGCTTAACCATTGCAGACTGTCAAACCCTATCTATGTTGAGTTTAACCACTCAGTTGTGCATTGATGAATAACTTTTGAGCCCAACACATGAGCCAATGTGTAATGCACATGTTTGCTATTGGATACTTTTCATTCCACTTCACAGTTCCAAGCATTAGCGTCGCTACGGGGGGGGGGGGGGGAAGCAGGGCAGCTTGCCCCACCAACCTCCGACCGGGCACCCCCTGAGATCGATACAGATCCGATGAGATTTTGGAGTCGGAAAAAGTGGGGGTACCTTTCTGAGAATGCCTGTGAGGTCAGACTGTTGGAGCGTGCAGTTCAAACCAAAGTCAGAGTCGCAGTCGCCAAAATCTTCAAGACTCCGACTCCATACTCGGAAATGTCAATGCTGTGATTCATTCCATGTTCCTAGTTGGTTCTTTATTACATTTTGTAGCTGATTTTCATAAGTTTTGGAGTGCTGACACATAATCTTCGTTCAAAGCGTGACACGAAATCTTCGGGGCCTTTCTCAACTCTCGTCAAATGTCTAGGACAGGCTCAAGTACCGTTCAAGTGCCGCAGGGCTCATGAGCTTGCTTTTCACACAGGCTCCTAAGGAGCTCCACTGAGCTCTAGGAAGCTTTCGGAGGGCCCAAACCGGCCTCTGAGAGTCCCACTGGTGTCCTGAGGGCTCATACAGGGATCTTTGAGGACCTTATACATACGTAGACCTCTGAAGGGCCACACGAATCTTTGAGGATGCCTTCGAAAATTTCTGAAAACCTCAACTGACCTCAGATAGTTCAGCCGAACTTTTGAGGCGGCAGACTTTATTAACCCCAAGCCGGCATCTGAGGTCACAACTCACGTGTCCCTCTGAGGGCCGCAACACATGTTTCTTATGTCCCTACCTACGTAGGGTCCTTAAGGATTCGACACAGACCCCGACGGTTCACACTGTTATTCGAGGGCTCCAGGCTCACCGTGGGCCTATGTCTCTTAGCGCCCGCCGCCCACACAGGTTTCTGAGGACTCGTGTGCCCTAAAGGGCTTTCCGAGCCCACCTTGGGCTAGGAAAGCCCTAAAGCACCACATACACGTAAATATTTGGGGTGACCCACGCCGATCTCCGGGATCCTAAGCAGGCTTCTGAGAGTCCACACTGACCCTGAGTGGCCTGAAATGGCCTGGAAGTCGCAAGCCTATCTCTAAGGGAAGGGATCCCTTGCCGCTATGCCGCGCGTAACTTTTGGTCCCGTTAAATATTTTTTGCTCGCGTTTGCAGCGCTTCCCTTCACATGAAAAACGAGAAACTTTTTGTTCACACTCGAGTGAACAAAACACCTCACAGGCATTCTCAGAAAGGTACCCCCATTTTTTCCGACTCCAAAATCTCATCGGATCTGTATCGATCTCAGGGGGTGCCCGGTCGGAGGTTGGGGGGGCAAGCTGCCCCGCTTGCCCCCCCCGTACCAACGCTAATGAACAAAACACTTCTTGTCACTACAGCAAAGATGAATTATGTACTTCCGATTCACACTTCCGACATTCACTCGCAGTCTCCGCCGAATGTCCAATTCTTAGCTACAATCGGCGGCTGGGATAAGCCCGATGCATTTCTCGTAAAACCTCGGCATGCATGCGTGAATGGAGGTTTTAGCACGGTGATCAGATCACCCTGGTTTTAGACAGGGGCCCACTGCAGTGCGTCGGCAATCGCAGCCACTGTAATTCTACCGGTCGTTTTTGTCCATAAATTTCAAAACTTTGTTTTTTTTTGCCAAAAAAAATCATGCCATACAGCCATAGCTAGAAGGAAAACTTTGTCACCATCGGATTCCTCGCACCATTGCTCGTCGAATGATATGTAAAACGAGTGAGTAACGGCTGGGGAAAGGCAAGATTTAACACAAAACTTAATTTTGCCCCCCCCCCCCAACCGAAGATGTCTGGCGACGCCTATGGTTCCAAGCCATTTTGTCAGAATGAACTGTCAATGCTGTAATATTTTCAGGGTAAACCTATGTTCTGACAACAAAAGCTTGTAATTACTAAAATAAATAAAGATTATTACGGAGCGAGCGAAGCGAGCGGAGTCTCATACTGAATTAAGGGAAAATCCTGAGTATGAGCGGCCGGCCGGCCGGCCGGCCGTGGGGACGCTCTTCAAAAGCTAATATCTTAGGAACGGGACATCCGATTGACAAGCGGTCTTCTTTACTGAATGTCACTTGGACGTAAAAGTTCTGTGGTGTGATGGCCACCATGCGTTCTTGCCAACCACCGCACGTGGCGCGTGGTAAAGTTGGACATTTTTTAAGAACCCCCAAAATTGCAACCTCAATAACGGCACAACGGTTGGGCCGATTGAATTGAAACTCGGTACACAGTTAGGTCTCCATCAGATAATTCATCTGCATGTGTTAAGGTTGGGGTGCTACAGCACGTGCGCACGTGCAGGGGGCGCTCCCAGATCTCGAGAACGGCTGGGCCGATTGCGCTCAAATTTGGTACACGGATGGGGACCAGTTAGTAGGGTGCCGTGCAAAAGTCAGTTTGGACCCCACTTGCACGTGCGCACGTGCAGTGTGCCGCTTCCAGATCTCGAGAACGGCTAGGCCTATTGCGCTGAAATTTGACACATCGCTAAAGACCGGTTAGTAGGGTGCAGTGCACAAGTTAGTTGGAGGTACCCCCTCGCAATTTCGCACGTGCAAGGCCCATCCTCTCGCTCGCTCCGTTGGTCGCCCCAAAAGGCGTTTTACTGGTGTTAAAGGGACCCTCCCACCTTCAAAAAAGTTAATGAATTGGCATGAAAGTGATGTCGCTCGGTTCAGAAAGAGCAAAAACGAATATCTACCAAATTTCATCGAAAAATATTCACCGGTTTTCAAGATATTAGACTTTTACTTTTGTTTACTTTTTGGGATCTCCGCTGTTCCTAGCGACTTTATTTGAAAGTGCGGCATTTGTTGCGCGCAAAGCAGCATATACCACCGCGTGCTACAAAACGTTTTAGTCAAACATTTAACGGACGTTCGAAAGCCTGATGACGTCATCAGATTCCCGTAATGGTTAAGAGATAGGGACCACGCTGGTCCCACCCTGCAAGTAAAGGGAAGGAATTTCTTGAACACCATAAAGCTGCGGGGGTTGCGACCAGGATAAATGGTGGTTTCTGAGCCTGGCCGCAAACTTGGCTATCTCAACTCAAAACTAATGTTAAGGTGGGAGGGTCCCTTTAAGTGTCCTAGGAAAGAACAAAGTGAACAACTGACAACATAAGGCAAATTGTTGTTTTTCCTTGAAAGTATGGAAAAGAAAAGGTATGCACATATTTTGTAAATCTTGGTTAGCTATCAGCCTAGATCATGATGGGCCATGGGTCAAGCCACAAAATAGAAATTTACACAGTAGAATGGTAGTTAAACTCCCTCACATTCTGAGCATAAGTGTAATGATCTGTTGTGTCAATTTGTATTCTTGTGGTATTAATATCAGAGCTTACCAAGATTGTAAAAATATGTGCCTACATCATTCTTCCTTTTTCCAATATCTCTAATTTTAGGATAACAAAATGAAATTTTCTTTCATAACTAGTACTTTTTGCGTTAGCTTTTGACCATTGGGCAAAACATTTGTACACATTCGCCATATAGATGGCGCTACAAATGGGCGGTTGGTCAAAAAGAATCACCATTGTGCAAAACTGTTCGGCGATCCTCCTCTACAACTCGATATTGAGCGAATGGTTCACCTTTGTGCAAAACAAATCGTCAATGGTCGAAACTATTCGTCATTGAGCAGCCGGGAATTCATGATTGGCCAAAACCGTCTATGGAAATTTCAGCATTCAGAAAAACAGATCAGCAATGATCAAAACAAATGATCGTGTGCACTGGCGGCCGCAGGGGGTATGGAGCAGCTCATGGGGCCCAATCCTTGACATTTCCCTCATATAACCGAGTGGATGATGGAACAAGCACACCGGCCAGCCAGTAAGTGTTCACTGGACGAGACCGACCTCAGCCGGCACACCCAGCATATAGGTACGTTCGGCTGAGCCCGGGAGCTCACCATATTTTTTTGTGCGCATGAGTCCTACACTTAACAGATAAACAGCACCTTGCGCTCATTCTAAGTCAGCTGAACGGTATTGCCTTGGGGCTCGAAATGAGATAGGCCTCAATTGGCGAAACCTTGCCCTCGTGAGGGAGTTCCAGGATACCAAGGCGACCGTCATGGCAGATGTGCACGGCGTTCGTCAGCTTCCGCCATGAGGACAGTTTGTTTATTCGATGTGCCAATAAAGAGCTCGTCTTTGAATAGGCTATTTACATAATTATAACTTTTGTAATTAAGTGCCCACCGACCAACGTAGGCGTGCTAGGTTGGAATGGTATGTTGCATTGATGGAAATGACTTCAATGCATGCATTTCGCATATTGAATTCAGCTGTATGTGTAGCCATTGCAAGCAAAAACAAAAACCCGAAGGGAGCACATTGTTTTTTCTTGTTGACATTTGACTAAATGACGTCAAAGGTAATTTTAAAAAAATGTCGGTGACATTGATTGGCAATGCTCACCGGTAAGATAAACCTACTGCATGGCTTGACTGACAATTACCGTACTGTTCCATTTAGAAAGAAGCTAAGGAACGGCTGACTTATTGCTTAGAAATGCCCTTATGTTCACGTTCAAGTGGTGAATGGTCGAGGTGTGTTAAAGGGACCCTCCCACCTTCAAAAAAGTTAATGAATTGGCATGAAAGTGATGTCGCTCGGTTCAGAAAGAGCGAAAACGAATATCTACCAAATTTTCTCTGAAAAATACTCACCGGTTTTCAAGATATTTGACTTTTACTTTTGTTTACTTTTGGGATCCCCGATGTTCCTAGCGACTTTATTTGGAAGCAATAGTTTGGGCAGCTGAAAGTGCGGCACTTGTTGCGCGCAAAGCAGCATATACCACCGCGTGCTACGGAACGTTTTAGTCAAACATTTAAAAATCGTTAGATCTGCGCTGACGTCACACATTCAGAGGGGTATTCAAAAGCATTAGCCCCTCTGAATCCAAATGCTGCAATTTTGAAATTAAATATTTCCGATTTAAGGCATTTCTCGATGTTGTGAGTGCCGAAACCGGTAATTGTGAGCCAGGGACCCCATTTTGGCTATCTCAACTCAAATCTAATGTTAAGGTGGGAGGGTCCCTTTAAATCCATTAAAAAAAAAACAGCCTAGGATATCCATTTATTCTGTTTTGAACATTGCTGAAGTGATATCACCAAATGACGAGGAGTTTTGCTCATTGCCGAAATCATGGCGAAGTGTCAAACTGTTATGCAGATCGCTCATTTCAGTGTTCAATCTGTTTTCTCGAATGGCTGAAATGAAACACACGACGCCGGAATAGTTTTGCTCAATGCCGATTGTCGAAATGGCTCTTCAAACAGTTATGACCAATGGTTGAATTCAATTGCAAAAAGGTGTATTAAAATAAGTGAAATGAACATCAGAACTAATTTTAAATCACCTTATCAAACCAATCCTAGCCTGAACCATGGTGGGGGCGTATTTATGCCCCCCTCAGGTTTTTCGCGAACATCTAAAAAAACACTGCCATTTTTGGCATAGGAACCTGTTAATATGTCTTTTCTGCACATGTTGTGAAAATTTCAGACCTGGGTCATTCAAAGTCAGGTCACCAGGTCACATCATGTGACCTTACCTCATAATAAGTTCCAATGCTCACTATAGCTAAACCAACTGAATGATTGCTTTGAAACTTTCAGCGATTGATAGGAGTAACAGTATGTAAAAAATGTATGTCTCAGAATTTTTGCTGTGACCTAAGGTCTGGTCAATTGTACGACCTCTTCATTTATAAGTCAATAGGAGGAAATTGAAATGCTCTTCGACTTCTTATGGACGAACGTCGTTCTAAGCACTCAAGCATCAGTTTATGGGTATAAATGGCACAATGAATCGAAAAATGCACCCCTCTTTGTGCTTCTGAGGTCATCTCAGGTCATGAAAGGTCCCCAGCAGTTTTTTTTTGACAATAACTTTTGATAGAGGCATGCTAAAGCGGTGAAAACACCACAGATGTGTTCAGCTCGGCGATATCGATCAACTGATCAGTAACATGACCTAGAGGCATGCTAAAGCGGTGAAAACACCACAGATGTGTTCAGCTCGACGATATCGATCAACTGATCAGTAACATGACCTTTTCTGGTCAGGTCATGACTTTGACCTGAGGTCAAATTTTCAAAATGACCTTTCAAGGTCAAATTATAGTTCATTCGACGCGTATTCACGAGGGAACACTATGCTGGTAAAAGTAAAGTCATGACTCTCTTGAGTTAAAAGTTATTACAGAAAAAAAACGTTTTTCGTTAAAACGTTTTTTATTGTCCGCTGGAGGCTAAACCGTTGACCTGAGGTCAAACCTGAGGACATGTCAGTGAAAGAGCGTTATAAGTGCTATCGACTGCCCTGTTCCACGGCGCTGTAGCTGTATTGGTTCCCGAGTTATGTGCCGGGTCTTCGAAAAATTTCTGAAATAGTTAAAATTTGACCTTTGATGACCCCTGGCGACCTGACTTTTGACCTGCTCTAAAAAAGTTTTCTTCAGTATTCAGGACACTCTTTCGAATGTCGCTTTCTGCGTGTCGCTGCGTGGCCCAGTAGCCGAGTTTGATGGGGGGGGGGCGTGAAAACGCCCCCCCCCCGGAAAAACTCTAACCCACCAGCACGCGCGGGCTAGTCTGTAATAAAATTACAGCATTCAGTTCATAATCAGCTTCTATTACAGCGGTCAGATTTCTATTCTTCTAGTTAGGTATATGTGTAATGTGTATCTAATTTTCCAGGTAATAGCCACCCTACAGTGCAGCATGGCGTCACAACTTCCACGGCGAATCATTAAGGTAAGAATATCTAAATCTGTATTTTGTAGGCATACAGGTACATATAACACAAATAAACATAAATATATCCAATTCATTGCATTCATAGTTGATTTAATTACAATCATGTTTGAATCCAACGTTTCCACACAGCTTTTCCTTTGTAGCACTCTAGCACTACCTACCTGTGCGATAGTAATTCAAAACTGTTGGGTGGTATATGCCGTTGTGGATTGCATTGTACTGACTGTGTAACATTGCCAGGAAACCCAGCGATTGATGGCCGAGCCAGTTCCGGGGATAAGCGCCGTGCCCGACGAGCAGAATGCCAGATACTTTCACGTGGTGGTCACAGGTAAGCTGACGCAATGAAATGTCGGCAAAGTTCAGCTGCTTGTCTTATGTGGCTACAAGAAACTCATTTTCGCCCTACTTATGACTGGCTGGCGGAATTTCAATGCCTTGTTCCAGTAAACAAAGTTTGGTACGTTCCAAACTCAACTAATGTCGCGATTTAATTTCGTCAGGTCCTGAAGGCTCGCCATTTGATGGAGGTGTATTCAAGCTAGAACTGTTCCTGCCCGAAGAGTACCCGATGTCGGCGCCTAAAGTTCGTTTCATGACAAAAATCTACCACCCGAACATCGACAAGCTAGGCAGGATCTGTCTTGACATTCTTAAAGGTACTTTCTGTCAGCGGTGTTTACGGATTTCTCCAAGTAATTCATATTTTCGTGGGAATTATTTCTCGTTTCAGTTGAAGGTCCCTTCGATATGGTCCCTAGTCCTACACTGCCAGCCCAAGCTACCGTAGCATTTTAGCAATAAATTTCGTATTTGGCGTATTTTATTTATGTGCATATTTGACGAGCCACCACCCACCCCTGGTATTTCTCGGGGATATGGCTGTGCCTCCTGCGGACTTTGGGTTCGCATTGCAGCTAGGACTGACCCGGCCGGACCCGGTCTCCGCAGACAAGTGGTCGCCGGCGCTACAGATCCGAACCGTGCTGCTCTCGATCCAGGCGCTGCTCAGCGCGCCCAACCCGGACGATCCGCTCGCCAACGACGTGGCCGAGCTGTGGAAGTGCGACGAGGCGGAGGCGATCCGGAACGCGCGCGACTGGACCCGACTGTACGCCATGGGCGGCAACTGAGGCAGCCGTGCCGGCCCGAACTAGCAACCGATTGGACGGAGGCGAGCGCGACCCTCGGCGGATGGCCGTCAGGGGCGCAGTACCGGGGGTAAGACTGCTGGATCTGGGGTGACCGGGGACCCGCTGGGGCGCCCCATCCGGCCCGGTGCCGCGATGGAGTCTGCGCTGCCGAGAGGCCCTGCCCCCGTAATTGTCCGGCGCGCGCCCGTCTCCACGGTCGGAACTGTGCTAACCCCGTCACATTCCCGGTGTCACGGTACCGACTCCCCGCCTGTGATAGGGCGGCCCGACCAGCCCGCCGCGCCGCAGGCACCACCTCCGCCGCCGACCGGTCACAACCAGTGTGTAACGGTGGCGCCGCCTGGGCTGAGAGCGGACCGCCCGCAGTGGCATTATTTGCGTATTGTCCGGCCTGACGTGCGCCGCCAGTCCGCTGGAAGACCGGTTTTTTATTTGTCTGGCAGCCGTGCTTATCAGCCAGCCGTTTTCACAGCTGAGCGTTTCACGTCGGGGCGGGATTTTAACGTCTGATGTATCATGTTTCGCCGTAGGTGGATGTCCTATCCAGACCGTGGAGAAGTGGCTGAATAATTTGAATGCGAAGCTTAGTGAATGGACCGTTCTGACGTTATGTACCTATCCAATATACATTATACATACGTGTACTTACATGAACAGGGTATGTGAGGTGGCGAGACGCAGATGAGATTTTTCAGGCCAGGTCGCGAGTCCTTCAGTCATCTTTGTCAGCTATGACCGCGGCGGATGCCCCCCCCCCCCCCCGAGCGTGACGTCTCAGCTGGTGTGATACGGATTTCGCCGGCTCTCAGCTGAGGGCCGTCGCTTGCCCCATAGCAAAGCTGCCTTCGATGTGAAGGTCTCGAATGCCGTGAACTGGCTAAACGAAGCGGCCAAATACCTATACATTTTCACCTATGTATTTACCTATGTAGGTTTTTGCGAGGTGCTTGCTTTGTCGGCCGGAAATGTCGAAAAATATACCGATGGCGCTCTAAAACAGACAAAATGATCGCATTTAGCGATACGAAGGACACTGCATCGAAATCATGGTAGAATCCATGAGCTAGAGACTCGCCAAAAGCCCTATGTAACCTGGCATAATGAGGCATGGTTAAAGTTTCTCAAGCAAATGTGTTTTTCGGTATTTTTTTTATCATGGTTTCAGTTACTTTCATTACAGTTGTCCCGACCGTTTTGCCCCCTGATCCAGGATGCCGTGTATTTTAGGGTTGCAAGAAGTGGCGATGTTTGAATCGCCCATCGGAAGTTCGTGTTTCGCCGAACTGCACAGTCGAAATGCTCCATTGGGTGACTACCTGAACCACAGAACGGTTGCGCAGTACGGTGTTCCATCGCCTGACGAATGCCGAATAATGTATACGACCCAAGGTTACGTCACCCCACTTTATTGTGATCGTACATCTTTGTACCACGTAAAATGGATTCCAACCGCGACGCATGCTGCAACAGAATGCAAACCGGTGTTGCTTGAGTGCCTCTGGAACTACGTTGTTGCTTTAGCATTGACGCAGGCCGTTTGATGACATCAGCTAGCAGAACACATACGCTTCGTCACGCGCCGACAACGGGTGCTTTGGTCACACAACCCGTTAGCCTATCTAAAAGCGACTCGTAGTAGCTCTGCGCCGCCGGGCGAGAGTCCACATAGTCAACCACCAGTGATAATTGGAGCCGTCCAGGAGGGACCCCACATCGGCCACCCTCCCGCCTCAGCACTAAGCGAGCTGGACTGTCACCGAGGACGCGAAATCAACCGGGACAATCTCCGGCCATAGCCGCTGGATGGCTACTCGACGGCAGCCCTGCCACCACGGCACGGCGACAGCCCATATAGGAAGCTAGGCCCCCTTCTGATCCCCGGCGGGTCTGAGACTGTTCGAACTGCTACCCCAATGTATGACGTAGCAGGCTGTTATAAAAAACGACCAGCTGCTGCTGTTCCCCAGCCAGATTCCATTCTCCGGGACCAAGACTGGTGACAGCTAGCGCCTATCTGAAACCCGGCACTTCTGTACCACTGTGAATCAGCGACTCAACAGTTAAAAAAAATAGCCACCCCACCGAACGTTGCGTTGGCATGGCAACTAGCAATAGTGACAGATCTTACAGACGGACGCGCACGCTTCATCACACGCAACCACACTGAACATTCTCGCGCCATGGGTCACACTCACTGGACGCGCCCACGGCACGGATCGTTCACACGGCCGTGCCGCGCTCCAGGTTTTGCTTGATCTCCTGCGTATATTGGCCGTAGAAGCGCTCCAGCTTCTTGTTGAACTTCATGTTGCGCTCGTTGATGTAGTCAATGTCGGCCTCGTCGTCATGGATGCGGCGACGGCTGAACTTGGCTCGCTTCTCAATCCTGTAATACAGGGCAGAGTAAATATATCGATGGTACTGATGTTGCGGACAAACGACACTGTACGGCTACGCACCATTTCGTAATTATCTTTTTTAAATGTGGAAAACAGAGACATGACAGAACGTAACCTGTACAACTGAAAACCGTTGAGACGTATCTGGCAAAATTGATTCTCGGGTTCGGTACTATAAATGCAATCAAATACAGCGATCGCATCCAAAAAACAATGCGGTCATACTCTGCCGGATCGTTGTCCAGCCAGCCCTCCCGTCTGCCCGCTCCGCGTTCCCCTTTACCAGCCCGCCCAGCCGGCGGCACTCACTGTTTGTTGACGTCCTCGGCCAGTCTGTCGATGGCCTCCTTGGTGTCCTTGTGGTGACCGTGCACGATGGCGCCGGGCCCGGCGTAGAACGCGTCGCCCATGGCCTCCTTCTTGGCCTCGTACGCCTCCATGTCGGGCTTCACCTGCTTCACCAGACGGTCGTACTGCCTGCCGATCAGAGGCGGCGGCGGTCACAACGAGAACGCGGCTATTCCGCAACGGCATCTTCACACAATATACATATACTTTGATTTTATGTCTCGTAACCACTAACCATGCCATGTAAGTCACCCCTTATTCGGCATTTTAAAATTCATTGGTGCAAAATGCGATGCAGCGATGCAATGGTCAATGATCTAGTTGCTATGTTTGCGGCATTCCATTTGATCAAATAAAACATTTCTGGATTTGACAAGACATATAATTTTAGTTAAAAGGTTTCCCCTTTTAGACCAAACGGTCAGCACACAACATGGATTGGGCAGTTTGGGCACTAAAGCCTGGGGATTAAAAGGTAATTTTATAAAAAGTAAAGGTAATTTTTACTCTCACTGTTTCGAGCAGTCAGGGACGGCAGGTCATTGTGCCAGACCCTCCCCGGAGATCAAAGCCCAATGGCCGAAAAGAGAGACCCGCAGACGTGACCCACCTGGCCGTAGAAGCCTCGTAGTTGGAGAAGCCCGGGTCCGGGTTGTGATGCTTACGCTTACGACGTTCCCACTTGGCTGCATCCTCGGCGGAAATGTCCAAATTGCGTTTGCGGTCGAAATCCTCTCCCTGCAGACATAAAACAATCACACATGATTCGTTTCAAGCTTTCACAGAAAGTCCTCAACATGACAGCCATTAGCCAGGTTTGTAAAGGTACTCCGACCTGTTCGATAACAGCGATCCGGAATTACATAAAGTCTCATGGGCTGAATAACGTCTACGTCACTTCAGCATTTTAGGGTAGGTGTCATCGACTTTTCCCAATCTTCCTAAACCACAGTTGCTGAAAATACTTAAGAGTAAGACACTAATGAACGGCAACAGAGCTGCGCTGTTATTTTACACTTAACCCGCAATAACACGATAGCACGGCACGGACGAAACATATCGCATAACTTCACTACGCTAACTACCAAACGGCCTTCGCCTAAGTGACCATTGTGCCCTTGTGTTCGTGCTTAAAAAATCGAGCAAAGAGCAGGTAAGAAGATAACAATAGGTAATAATAAATCAGCAGCCCCAGGACCTAGAGGATTGATGTATGTTTTGGTTCGATATCACATACATCGACACGGCGCAGCTCGGCGGTACGCACCTGTTTCTGGGCCAGCTCGCGCTGCTCAGCCTCCTCCAGTTTGCGTTCGGCCCACTGCTGGCGGCGCTCCCAGTTCTTGGGCTGGCTCTGCCGCCGGTCCTCCTCCACCACCTCCTTGTGGTTGAGCTGCTGCGCCTCGGTGCGCCGCGAGTGCAGCTCGCGCAGGCGCCGCATCCGCTCGGCCATCCGCTGCTTGGGCGTCAGCTCGGCGTCCGAGGCGCCCGACGGCCCGGCCACGTCTGCCATCTCAGCTGGTCTGGTCTGGCAACACAGCGCGGTGAACCAGTGCTGTGACACAGGAGGCTAGTGTCACAAGTCACAGCTGAATGATTGAACTAAATTTGCCAGTTAGGGGGCCACCACTTCACAAGAAGTCACAAGAAGGGGATCGAATGGTTTTCTCAGCCTGGTAATTTTAGGTTGGAAAATGTAAACAATGCTAATGGCATCCTCAATAAGTATGATAAAATATGTATTCAAAATATCAATAACTCTGGTAGAAGCTAAGACCACAAACTGTATTTTTATTCTAAAATTTCACCAAGGTCAGTGGTGGTGCTCTAACATATTAATAAAGAGAGCAAAGCTGCAGAGTAACTATGGCAGAGTTAGCTATGGCAATTATGGTAAGATATGATCTCATGTGCACAGTAGGTACTCAACTGAGTCTGTTACAGAGAGATTTACTGTGGTTTCAGGTTTGGTCTCATTTCTTCATGGGAATATGTACTATGCAGCCTCAGGCACTAGCATAGGTGCAATTACTGGCAGACCCAGAACTGTTTTGAGATGCTATGGCCTATGGGACATGGGTGAGGGAGCAGTGAAAACACTCCAAAAACGGTTTTTTCAATTGCTGCCAATTTCTTTTCTGAAAATTAACTGGATCTTTCATTCACTGGAAAATTCCTCCAGCCTTCTTGTCTTTTTGTGCAGTTTAAACATAACTTTCCAAATGGAAGTCAAGTTTTCTTACAATGCAAGGAAAACTTAAATATTTCATCAGCTTCAATTTTCAGGTGCTGCTGGAGAGGCAAAAGCCCCAAGTATCCCCCTGGATCTGCCACTGGTTATCATGCTGAACCTCTGTACTGGTGCAGTATATTGTCCAAGAGAATGTTGATGTTAATATGGGAGATACAACTGAACCAGCCAGGCAAGGAAGAATTAGGGTTTATAATGCAGCTCCTTATCACAACTGCACACTTCGTAATTTTCCAGTGCCTAATGATGTCATACTCTGGTGCAAACTGGTGCTGATTTTTAGTCTGTTTAGTCAGGCTGCTTTTTATTTTTAGTCAGTCTCCCTGGCTGATAGGGCTCATTGAATTTGTCAGCAATAGGCAGTTGGCAAATTGGCATGCTTTACAATTTGGGTGAGATGTAGATAGGTAGGCACTGACCACACCCAACATTTGCTGATTCACAACAACCTAAGCAGATAGGTACTGCAATGATTTGGTGGCTTTACAATGATGTGGCAACACCATGAGAAATCCACCCACAAATTATCTAACTTACTATTCCAACAGAATCCGTCTGTGAGTCTGTCTGTGTGTCCGCACATCGTGTAGTGGGTTAGTAGTGGTAGGAGTAGTAGTAGGGGTAGGGGTAGTAGTAGGGGTAGTGGTAGGGGTAGTGGTAGGGGTAGTGTAGTGGTAGGGGTAGGGGTAGGGGTAGTGGTAGGAGTAGTAGTAGGGGTAGGGGTAGTAGTAGGGGTAGTGGTAGGGGTAGTGGTAGGGGTAGTGGTAGTGGCAGATGTAGTGGTAGGGGCAGGGGTAGGGGTAGTAGTAGGGGTAGTGGTAGGAGTAGTGGTAGGGGTAGTGGTAGAGGTAGGGGTAGTGGTAGGGGTAGTGGTAGGGGTAGGGGTAATGATGGAGGCAAAAGTAGAACAGTGGCCCGGGCTGATCCCACCGGACGAGAGGTGGCCTATGTGACCTGGCCTGACCCAAAGTGACCGGGGCTGACCCCTTTGGCCCGTCTTGACCCCCTATCAGCCAAATTTCATCCAACTAAGCCCCCAGAACAGCTCTTTTATAATTCTCTTTACATTTCCGTCCAATATCTATGCTTCTAGCCAACACATCGATTTGAAACGAACACCATTCGAAAGCAAATTGGCTGGTGCCGCAATCTTTTCCTACCACGCAGCAAAGCAAGTGGCGCAGCCGCTTGTCTAACTTACTATTCCAACAGAATCCGTCTGTCTGTTTGTCTGTTTGTTTGTGTGTCCGCACTTGGTCTCCCCAATATATTGCAGTTCGCAGTTTTGGTGAAATTTTCGGTGACATGGGGTCAGTTATCGGCGCGTGGAGGTCAAACGGTTGCGAGGAGGTGGCTGAAACTTGCGCACCGCGTAGACGACGCTTCGGGCGTGTGCCTTTGCTGGGTCTGCAGTCGGTGGGGTGCACGGTTCGCGCGTGGGGCGCGCTGGAAGAACGCCAATGAAATTTTGATCGGTTCGTAGATCTTCATTGAGAGCCGGGGTCGACAAACTTTGTGAGCTAAATGCATGCCGATCGGTGGCGGGTGCCTCGCATTGGCGGATGGGCGAGTTTTAATTTGAATGAAAAGTGGCGAGAGAATGTGTTGATTTTCGTTCAATGGGAACAGTTTGCGATACGAATTTACAAATGCACCACGTTTGCCGCAAGGCGTCACATTGGTCACAGGGCGTCATTTTTGCCGCAAATCGCACAGTTTTGTCAAATATAGTCCGATAAGGGTACAATTTGGTGCCAGGATGCATGCTCAGCCAACAGGTTCAGATGCGCCGCGTTTGTCGCAATGCGCCACATATGCCACAAAGCGCAATTTCCGTCAAATACGATTAAGCGTAATGGAATGGCACGAATAGGGGCAGGGCTGGGAACACTTTAAGAATGGTTTTAATACTTATTGGATCCAATTGGTCTGTGACCTGACATGACCACGCGGTATTGGTAGGGGCAGGGGTAGGGGTAGGGGTAGGGGTAGGGTAGTGGTAGGGGTAGTGGTAGGAGTAGTAGTAGGGGTAGGGGTAGTGGTAGGGGTAGTAGTAGGGGTAGTGGTAGGGGTAGTGGCAGGGGTAGTGGTAGGGGTAGTGGTAGGGGTAGTGGTAGGGATAGTAGTAGGGGTAGGGGTAGGGGTAGACCCCTTTGACCCGTCTTGACCCCGTATCACCCAAATTTCATCCAACAAGGCCCTCAGAACAGTTCTTTTTTAAATTCTCTTCACATTTCCGTCCATATCTATGCTTCTAGACGACACATCGACATGAATCAAACACCATTCGAAAGCAAATTTGCTGGTGCCGCAATTTTTCCTACCACGCAGCAAAGCAAGTGGCGCAGCCGCTTGTCTATATTACTATTTGTGGTGACGTAGTTTCTGTCTATTACGATGGTCGCGACATGGTGCTACGTAGCGCGGGTTACAGGTCACACCGTTGCACCTACCGCGCTGAAGTTTGCGCAACTCATAGAACAAGGATGGACAACGTGCCTTTGATGGGTCTCAGCTCGATCGGATCGATAGCGAGCGCGTGGCACGTGCCCAAAAAGTGCAAATTCGCGTCATAGACTTTACATGTATAAATCGGCTTGCAAAAACGGGCGAAAATGGCTAAATTTGCCCGACACGGGTCCGGTTTCCGTGCAATATCTCGGTAACCGTGCGCCCGATCGTCACGGGGAAAACAGCATCGTGTAGAGAATCGAACGGGCTATCGAATGGTGTGCGGTGCGGAGGATGGCACGCGCCACGTGCACACGTGAGGGCAATTTTATTTCAAAAAGTGCCGTTTTAAATGGATTTTGGATTTTATTTTATTTTCACGTGACCGTCAGAATGAGTGAGTCAAAACAACGCCTATTCGCAGGAGAAATGTACCGCCTCTCATGATAAAATTGTGAAAAGCTAATTGATCAAAAACAAGGTGGAACAAATCGCTGGAGAAAATGGCATTTGCCCATATTGTGGCACTAAATAAATACACGGGGTTTTGCTGCTTAACCTGATACGTTTGACAATTGAAAATGCTATCATTAGAAAGAGCATTCAATTCTCTCCAAGATCCAATCATCACGTTTGCATGACAAGCAACAGTATTCTTTAAAATGTTAATGTTTCAAACCCCTGCAAAACCATTTTTCGCGAAAATTAGCTACGCCTTTCATTTGTCATAAAACTACGCACATAAGTTATAAAACACATTTCACAGGTTCACTGAACTTTAATGACAGATTTTGATGTAGAAAGCATGCTTATCAGACACGGGCACCTCGATGCGATGGATATTATTTCCAAACCAAATCGTTTAGCCGTCAAAAGGCAATCGACCGAAATGGATAGATAACCCAACCGACACAAGAACAACCTCTTATACGGCCTTGCAAACACCCGCCGATCGAAAATACCCCTTTTCGCGTTGCGGAGCACGCGGGTCACCCTAGTCTTATCTATGTATTTCAAAACCTCAACTAACAGTGAAATCCTCCTTTTGCACTCTAGGCTCAAACTTTAAGTGAAATACACCACATCATCACAAACCATACATCAACCTAGAAAGTTGTTCATACGACCACTTAATGCTAATAAAAAACAGGTACACTGCAAGCACAAACAGCAAAACCTAGGTAATCTCTAGCCTGGCCTAACCTTACTTAACATAACAGAGCCGTGCCTGACTCAACATAGGTATGGTTCTGTCTAACATAAAAAATGTTTTGTGCAAAAATATTGTAAGTATTGATGTGCGGTCGGTCTCACTTTATTGACATAAACACGGTAGTAGACGAACATAAACACATAAAACACAAAATGGCACTCATAAAAATTAATAGGTAGATATTTAGTTGTTTATATCTAACATTGATATATAAGAAGCTCTGCTACTGCCACCATACTGCGCCAGCTGGCAAATAATCCAGAAAATAGTATGGCTCTTCGAAAAGGGCAGCGCAGCTGCATAACCACTAGTAAAAAATCCTGAACTTTTACAGTTACTTTTCACAAAGCAGCATGGAAAGTACATATTTGTGTTCTATACCATAAATGGGGAAAAATGAAAAAATATTGTTTATTATGGATAACTCATGAAGAATGGTCGCGCGAAGGGACGCGAAGTTGTTAAACCGAAAAGAGCGTTTTATAAAATAGAGCGACATTCATGGCGCACCTAAACAAAAATACAGATGGACTACGGCTGAAGAACTCACATATATATATATATATATATATATATATATATATATATATATATATATACACGACATTCTCTGGGCCAGTGCAACAGTTAAGCTAGCCTTTGGAACCTCAACAATGCAGAATAAAACAAACGGATAAAATACGATGCGCGCACCACACTCACCCACAGCTCCGCAGCAACCGCAATTGTCTAACATTTGTCTAACATTGATCAAGGATCAGAATATCAAATTGTTTGTGTTACAGGCTGGCTGCTACTAAATATAGTGACGTCATCTGATACTAGCAAACGCACCGTAGAAGAACACGGCGATTCGGATTTGCCATTTAGTACTAAGATGTCCCTTATTCGTTGTTCTTAAGATTATCTAACACTTTTACATCTTATTTTCAAGTATTTTATGCTCTACTTGCTATAAAATATTTTATTTCTTCATTCCTCAGAAGCCTTTCCAAAAGATCGACCTTTGACGTAATTTCTGTAATGATACCCCGCCTTTATCAGCGCCTGGCACCAGGGTATATTGAGTGAAGGGTAGGACGAACTTTGGTAGGAATTTCTAGTATACCTACTAGAAAACCTACTATATGTGGTCGGGTCTAGCAAAAAGTTAGTTCAAACTAGAATATGGTAGCGCTTATGGTTGGCAGTCGTGACGCGCACGTGACATTCATTTCTTAAATTTCTTAAATAACAGGTTTTAGGGGTCGATTAGTGGGCAGATACATTCAATTAGCTATTAATAATTGATTATGCAAATATTCAAGAATCTACATCATTCAATTCTAGCCAAAATCACGCGAGGCTCCCAGGATTCGAACTCACGACCCTCGGATCCGTAGCCCGATACGCTACCGACTGCGCTACCGAGGACCGCGCACCGACGATCGGAGAGGCGGATCGCGGGTGCCGGCGTGCAGAGAAATCTTTACCCTGTACGCCGTAGAAGATCGGCTGGGTTTCGTGAAAAATGGTAGAGGAATTGTCGAAAGAAAATTCATCGATCTATCATTTGAGACTAAGAACCATTGATTCCTTCAAAGGTTGACCGAGATATCGCTCGCCGAAAACAGGCCATTTAACATGTAAACCCTATGGGCTGGTAGGAAATGTACGCCGTGGAGCAGTAGTGCTACCAACTAACTTCGGCGGGGGCCGCCTGGCACCGCCTTTACAGTGACCGGTGACCCTAACACCTGCTGGAGGCGGTCGCTAATTCTAAATTCATAAAACCGTACCGCTCAAGACTATCTTGATCTATGCATCAGTTTTCCGAGTTGGCACACTATCAACGATGTCATATCTGAAGAATTGGTGGGTTACTGACTACGCAGATGACATATTTTCATATTTCTTACGGAAAGAAAAGACAGGGATGACCTTCCGCTGCAGATCTCCACAAGTGAGTTGATATTCTGAATTTTACCTAATGTATCTTCGCAAGCAGTATCGCACCGTTCCATTGTTTCCACCCTCAGGACAGTAACCCCGCGTTCGATGTCTCTCGGACGACGAAGATTCTACGCCGTCCGGCCAATCACGTTCCATAACCGCAGCCGAGCATAGGCGGCGGAACGGGGGGGGGGGGCACCGGGGCACCGTGCCCCCCTTTGATTTTGGCATTTGAACATTAGCCCTATGGGCGTTGCATGGAAAGTCGGCAGTGCCCCCCCCCCCCCTTAATTGAAGGTGTTCCGCCGCTACTGCAGCCGAGCCCCCGCTGACCTTGGACGGGATTGGCCGGACGACGTAGAATCTTCGTCGTCCGAGAGACATCGAACGCGGGGTAAATCCTTCTCCTCCACGCCTCAAACTCCTGATTCAGGCTGGACGGGCAACTTTTTCCCATAGAGGCAGCTCCATCGGAGCACACCCGTAACGCGTGCAGCGAGTGCTTGGGGGGGGGGGGGGTGCTGGGCATCCTGTCCAGTTGGATGGGCTCAGCCCCTGCTACTCAATAGGGTGCTCGCCCAGGCCAATGTCTCCTCCTAATTCTTACCATCCTTCCGACTCTGGAATGGTCTCGCCAGACTGAAAGGGCCTCACCCAACAAAACAAAACAAAACAAACAAGCAGCTGCACAATGTGTTGCGGCGCAGGGTAGGTATATTGAATTAGGTTGCGGCGCGCCGACACCATGGCCCTATTTCAGGGCACGACTCTACTGAGCGCTACAGGACCCATAACGGCGTTCATTCCTTCACTGCTAACTATGAGCCTGGTCAGCTATGACCCAGTTTTTGGCAAACCAGCGCACGTTTCCGCAGTGGTCACCTCCAAGCGCTGACACGTTGACCCATCCCGTTTTCAATCGGTGCGCAGCTTGGGGAACGGCGTCGACTGGTGGACATGCTGAGACTGGTTGGGGAGCGGCTTCAGCTCGGCAACACCTCCGTTCATCTGGCCGTGAGGCTGCTGGACCTCTTCATGGACAACCACCGGGTAGAGGTGGCGCACCTCAGCCTGGTGGCTCTCGGCTGTCTCCTGCTGGCCAGTCAGTGACCACTGACCAGTAACGCGGGTCTAGGATCAGTAGAGCTTCAGCCGATCCAGTCTTAGGACTTGGCAGCGTACTGAGTTGCTATCTGCTTTTTTAGATCGCCTGCATCACTGACAACCGGGCCACCGGCCGTCACTGCGAGTAAGTGGTTTGGGGAATAGATCTGGTTGTTGTGGAATATAGCAGGGTATCTAACCAAGCTTATCACTAACACATCATGGCTCATTTGCTTGACAGGATTCTGCATTCCAAGTCTTTTTCTTTACATTGCCCTCTGACCATGAAGTGCAAACATTTCACGATCGCTATCATTTACTAGCCCGAGAACTACCTTTGACATAAGCTCCTCAGTCCTCATATGAGCAGCAATGGTTTGCTCATGCAGAAAAACGACTATTTCTCTAAAAGAAATAACAGCTCGATGGTCAGCGTCAATACAATCCCAGCCTACATTGGTGACTTTGTATCTGTCTTGTACCAGCAGTACGTGGGCGTATCGTATGTTTGCAGCGAAGTTCGAGGACCGTGACCTGAATGTGCCGCATGTGCCGGAGCTCCATCGGCTCGTACCGCATTGCTACCCGCTGAGAGACTACCGTGCAGTCGAGGCCATCCTGCTGGAGTTCTTCAGGTTAGTAGGGGTCGTGCCGGTGCCAGAACAAATCAAAGGTCTCAGGGTGCTTAGGTCGTTAATCAAGTAGCTAAAGAACGCGGTCGACAGTCAGTTGGATTGTTATTGACACCACAAGTCCCCGATTTCTGACCAGCAGTCTAAATGCTTACAGCTGGAACCTGTCGCTGGTGACGGTGGCGCACTTCGTCGAGTTTCTGGCGACGCGCGTGCTGGGCCGTGGTGACCTGGTGCGCGGCGCGGAGCTGGTGGGCACCGCCAGCGCGCTGACGCCGCCCCCGGACCACCCGTCGGCAGGGCTGCCGCCTCCGACCTCCGGCGCCCAGGCGCTGCGGAACGCCCTGCTGGAACGGCTGCAGTACTTCATGGATCTGGCACTTCAGGGTAAGTCCGGTGGCATCAGAAAATTCCCTCAGCGAGGAGCTTACCCCTCTGTCCCCTCTGACTTTGCGACCGTCGGTAGTTGATTCAGCAGTGTGGTTAGATCACACGTTGCAAAAACAATAACCTACTGTGTACACATTTACGTTGCTGCGCTGAAGGCGCCTCATTGTGTCGACTTGAATGTGACAGTGTGACATGACGTCTAGCAGTGTGTTACAACCGCCCACTTCCGACAGACGAGCAGTTCATGCTGCACCGACCGTCGGTGGTGGCGTGCGCCTGCGTGCTGGCCGCGCGCAGCCGACTGGGCGTGTGGCCAGCCTGGCCGGCCGAGCTGAGCCGCCTCACCGGCTACTCGGACGCCAGCCTGCTCTCCTGTCTACACTCACTCTTCAGGTGATCGCTTCGTCGCGTTTTTCACCACATTGTACAGTAGGTACCCAACTCTTAGCCGTTTAACTATGCTGTTATTTGCAACTAACTTCTCAATGCTTCGAATGCTGCTGTCGCTTAATATTCAGGGACGTATACGTATCAGTTGTTGCCATTCTTCTGTCCTAATTCTCCTGATTTTGCACACAGGGCCGCGTTTGCTGATGAGAGGGCTGTCTCCGCGAAGACTGACGATTGGAGCGGATCGGAATGAAGCAGTGAATTATAAAATTGGCATGAGAAGTGACGCATGTGCCAGTATCTATTGAATACCATTTGTATGCTGTTGCTATTTATTACAAGAAGTATGTCATTGTTATTTACTACAAAGAGTGGATACATTTCTGCCATAACTAAGAAAAAAATATAACTGGCCACGAGAAAAATTCAAAGATCCTCCTGGTCAGAGCACAACAACTTTGTTTTACTACCAGCCTACAGTATTCTTTATTATCAGCAAGAGTTTCCATCATCACAACTTTCAGACACTTAGCCACGATCTCATCTTGTCCCCACGTTTCACATTGCGGTTCCTTCGTCCACCATTCTACTTAGTACTTGTATCACATAATCCATAAATCAAGGTACTATCGTCCAGCAGTCATACGTTTCAAAAACAATATCGGCCACACTTTTGCTTGCGATGCAACACAGGCGATGCAGGGCTCCTTGAGCCCCGCTACTTGTCAGCAGCTTCGTTGGCAGCTGTAGATTTGAGGGCATTTGCGGCAATGCCGCCAATTAAAGCTGCTACTGTAAAACCCTGCGCCAAAACGCGCATTCGCATCATGCGCTGTGACGCCTGGCTGCGGCCTGATTTGAAGTTCCAAAGACCTACGCTGAGTGCTGTTATTGTTGCGAGACACCCTGTAAAACAAATGCACTGAACTGTGATACCAGCATAACATGCCTGGTCAACCAGCAGGCAGCACATGACTGAAAACGAACTGTTTTGCATTCTACATGACACACTAGGTAGGCGTCTAGACTTAGAGCTTATTCATGGTGGCATCAAACAAAAGAGCGCATCTGACATCAGCAATCAGCATCTTTGAAACAAGAATGAGCTACAATTCATGACATTTGAATCTGCACACAATTTACCAAGATCTATAACTGCTACAAGCTGTCCCAAATCAGTAGTGTGCAGCAGTCTTCGGCACACCTCATTTTTAGCACCTCAGCAGTCTTTGGAACTCCTCAATGTAACATCTCTAGCATTGCAGCTTGAACTGCTACATGTGCACAAAAGATGGATGATGACTCATCTGGTTTAACCAGATGAGTCAAATAAGGTGGGTCATATGAGTCATCATCAAGCTTTCCAGCAAGAAATGCTACATGTGCGCAAAAGATGGATAATGACTCATCTGGTTTAACCAGATGAGTCATATCAGGTGGGTCATATGAGTCATCATCCATCTTTTCTGCACATATTGTAACATTTCTAACCACATAGCCAGTTTTACCAAAGGTTTCACCAATAAAAAATGCTTATTTTTTTTGGCTCAAGTCCCTATCTGCCAGCTTATGTCATCACATCAGCATTAAATTATTTGAGTGGTTGTTTGGATTTATAGGAGGCTTAGAAGTAATTCTGGCAGCATCAAAACCCAAAATCTGTTAATTTGGGTGAGAAATGACATCCAAATAAAATTCATTTGCAGTCTCATCTCTAGCTTTAAAGGGCACTATTCCACTCCAATTTTACCATAAAAAGCATTTTACATGGGTGGTCATTTTACATCCTAATTTTACCACACTTGCATAGAAATCATTGCCATTGATCTCTTTTTGGGCCTCATCTGACTCCAGACTGCAAAGTATGTCACGCAGGTCGACGAGGCGCACCGGCCCAAGTTCAAAATCCGCACCAACCCTTTAAACTGAGCCGGAAAATCCGCACCAAAGCGAGCCGAGAGCCCAAAATATCCGCACCGAACCCACAGGCAATTATAATGCAAGGGACTTCATTCATCTCACTATAATTATTTCCCCTCCAATTTCAGTTTCACGAGCAACACTCACCACGGGACCGCGCCGCGCACTTGTACCGGAAGTTTGAAATAGAGTAAATAGACGGACGCCGGTGACAAAAGGGCGCCGGAGGGCATATTGGGTCACGTGACATTCGGAACTTCTCCCCTCTCTGTGGGCCTTCTACATGCTAAGTGTCACGTGTGAATTTGACGAGCCTTGATAAAATCGCCCCAACAAACTTTCGTATGAGTAAAACTAATGACGTCATTCCAAAGTAGCGTGCTGATTGGCAATTCAAACCAGCTGCTCGCAAATGTGACATACCAGTCACCACCGCAACCAGTCTTCGTTCTAATGACGTCGTCATCACGTTAATTTCCGAGGCGAGAATGGATCTGTTCTGCCGCCATTGTTAGTTCGTAGAGTAAATTTAAAACCTTTCTCCGTCACCGTGCGTCACCGTGGCTGGCACGCATTTGTAGGGCTTTCCAAAGAACAGTCAACAAGGAAACCCGGCCGGGTAAGAAGACCAAGCAAAGTCCGCACCGCATCAAGGTCCAAGCCAAACCCGCACCGCACCAGGCAAAATCCGCACCGCACCACTCAAAAATCCGCACCAGCCGAACAAGCCCGCACCGACGAGATCTCGTCGAAATTGCCATACTTTGCAGTCTGGATCTGACTGGCAATTTTCCACACTCATCCCCATTTTTGAAGAGGAACTTCCCCTCTGACACCCAAGCCAAGATACAATTTTGGGGCATTGGGCAGCAAACGCGAGATTGCGTGATATGACAGTTGTTGGCGCACTTGGTGGCGCACCGTATGAATCCAAGTGACATAATTAATAATTGTTTCTTTAATTTTCATGTGTTTTTGATGTTTTATTAACAAGATAAACTATTTATCGATAAAAAAGTATAGAAGATAGCAAACTTAAGCGTTTGTAGCGAAACCATTTATTACCTAGTTATTATTACGTCAGCATAAATAATTCATGGAAATTCTGGAAAATTGCAGAAACCGATGTCAAGGGAGCCTCAAAATCATGCACATAATTTCCTGGACGGTCACGCTTAGTGTAGCTCAGCCTTTAGGGGTATTGATTGAGCTATGGGACAGGCATCGGGCAGTCATTTCAATCATAGCAAAGAAGTATGAAAGCTCTGCTTGGAAATGCAGGGTAAAGACTAACATGATCAAATTGAAATATGAGCCAGACAAGTGATTTGATGATTTCAAACAGGCTTATATCATATTTGGCAACTCAATCATTACGTAAGTCAACTCGCTAAGACCGGACACGAATAGGCAGACACTGCGCCACTTTTGCGTGGAAGTTCACCTACGTAGAAAACCTTACCAATGGGTACAAGTGGATTGGACTTGAGTTTTCTCATAAACTTTTCACCAGCAGTTTCTTGATGTTCGTTAATGTCATGCCTGAGAGATGAAATCCACTCCAAATCTTCCTCATCGAACCCCGCATCCCGCGCCGCCTTCGCCCTATCTTTCGCCATGTTTACGTCTGCTCGGGCAGAAGAAATACGGCGACTAAATTGCTGACCCGTCTCCTTCATATGTAATCGCTGTTCTTCTTCCCCAATCCTTATTTACTGGCTGGCTCAAGGACTGGCTATTTGAGCTCGCTGAAAGAAAAGAAGTGGAGTTACCCGGCACTGAAAGATTTCTATTCAGTTAAAGCCGTTTCATTGGAACATTATGTGTTTCAAAGTCAAAAGCAAGGATTGACCGTAAATCGCCTATAAAAACCGTATAAACCGTAAACCGCCTATAGGTACACGAATCTCTTTGTACCCGGGCATTCTCTTCATCATCATGACCTGAAGATTCATGAGATTCATCACTGAAAATGCATCACAACATGCTCCTAATTTGAATTTGCCTCACTCGCCTTGTGCCGTTCTTCCCGTCTCTCCATGATAAATTTGGACGTTATACACAGTATGTGTGCGCTTTCCAAGCTGCTCTTCGGTACAGGCGATTGTGCTCCACTTTCAACAGACTATAATATCCGATCGTCCACATTCGCCCACTTTGTTTACGCCATGTAAGCGCCTTTTTTCGTTGTTTGATTGGCGCTACTTCAGCGAGCTCGAAGTAAACTCCCATATAGGTAAGGTATACCTACCGCGTAAACAAGGCATATATTGTCAAGTACATCGAGTTCAAACAGGTACGGGGACCATATCACTGCAAACGAACAACTCTTAAAGCTGCATACTCATAAATATGGAGAACACGACATGAATAGGCACATTTCTACGTCAAATGAAATGGCATGCTGGCAAAGTAATGATGCCGTTCCATTTACCACGGAACACTCGACATTAGGCAGCAGTCTGTGCACTGTGGAGGAGATCTTAGGAGCTCTGAAAATGTGCCACGGAGATGGGTCAGGCCAGGCAGCAACGTTCCACCGCCGATAATGGTGGCGTCGCTGCTCTGCTGCGGAATGACACCATGGAATGACATCGGGAATGCTGGAGTACCTATGTCGCACAGCTAAATCGGCAAAAGATTAATAATGACGTGTTGTGAACGATAAAATTATCGTAACAAACCAATAAAGATGTTATCTTGATAACCCAAGATAGATATCTTGATAACCAAGATAGATGGTTAAATTCCAAAGGAAATCATACATATTGGAGATAACTAGCGTATGATTATAAATAAATAACAATTTCATGCAAGTCACTAAATTGCCTTCGAGAATACTGTTACACATCAAGCCCCGGGCCCCATAACCTCAGCATAAATGAGATACAACTAATTCCGCCACAAGCTCAAACATACGTCATACCAGACACTACGCAGATTACTATTGCCAGCTGGTACCACACATGCCCCGTCAAAGCACCCTTGAAAAACCCGCATCACTCACACGTAAATAGGTGCAGTGCAGAAAAATCGCGTGACACAGCTGCCGCTCAGTGCCGAGGCACTGAGCTTGACTGCCGCTATCGCCGCATCGGCCCTTGACTGCCGCTAGACCCGGTCAGCCTGTGCGTCGCGTGCAGAGGCCCAACGCAGATCAGTGGCAGTGCTGTCCCTGCGGCACGAGTACTGCACCACCCTGTTGTAGCTAGCCGGACGGAACACCGCCGGCAGCAGACTCCCCACTGCCCCGATTAAGTAGCGATATTTCGGTTTGTTTGATAGCCACCGGGTGCCGGCTGTAGCCCTACCTCTGATCGTCACTCCGGCGGCGACTACCGTCCGGTTCTGTCCGGCCTCACCCGGCTCCGTCCGGCTGTATCCCGCTCCGTCCACTACCGATACCGGTGCTGCGGGCCCGCCGGGTCATTTCCGCACCGCCCCGATATCGCTGCCCCCTCCGTGCGCCCGGACGTGCGTGGACGGCTGTTCCGGCAGCGGCTGTCTCCGGCTGCCGGAGCCCCTCCGGGCCCGGGGACGCGGCCGGGCGCCCGGAGCGGGCCCGCCGGCGGCCTCAGCTGGGCAGCAGCAGGCTGGACGTCTTGACGCCGCCGTCCAGAGAGGCGGTGACGCACAGGTTGTCGGCCATGTCGCAGGTGAGCACGGGCGCGCCGTGGCCGCCCAGACTGAGCAGGTGCTCCAGGCCAGACGGCCCCACCTGCAACACACACCGGCGGCGGTCAGCGACGGAACACCGGTAACGAATAGAGCCCGTCCGTTACCCGGTGGCGCCTCACCCGTTACCTGGCAGAGCACTCCGTTCGTTACTTGGTAGAGCCCCGTTCGTAACTTGGTACAGCCCCGTCCGTTCCCCGGTAGCTCCCGGTCCTTACTTGGTAGAGCCCGGCCCGTCACCCGGTTTAGCCCCGTCTGTTTCCCGCCCGGTAGCTCCCGGTCCTTAATTGGTAGAGCCCGGCCCGTCACCCGGTTTAGCCCCGTCTGTTTCCCGGTCCGTTACTCAGTCCGTTACCCGGTAGATCCCGGTCCGTTACCTGGTAGAGCCCAGTCCGTTACCTGGTAGAGCCTGCCGCCGGTGGCGCCGCACGTCAGCATGTGGTGTCGCCCGTCGAGCGCGAACAGCTGGCCGTAGGGCCGCTGCGGCGCCGGCTCGCCGCCCGGCCGGTGCGGCGCCGGCTCGCCGCCCGGCCGGTGCACCGCGAACGGGCCGCTGGCCCGCTCGTGCAGGCAGCTCTCCGAGAGCTGGCTGCCCGTCTGCGCCAGGCTCCAGGTCACCAGCTGCACCGGAACATGAACGGCGGGTCAGCACGGCGGGAGACGGGAGCGGCGCGGGGCGTTCCGGGCTCGGCCTAACGGCCAACGAAACCAGGAACAACTGAATCAAACTGAAGGAGTCTCACCACACAGAACATGATAACATTTAACATTGTGCACTGGTGTATTCCTATCAGGTATCAGATCAGATCCAGTGGACCGACCAGCATTGGATCTGGTATCCTCCCGTTCCCACTGGTTTAGTTCCAGCCCCAGTGAACACTCTGCCTGCTGCCCCATCGAGCTGTCCGCTCCTCTCCACGCAGTCGCGGCGGGCGCGTTGACTCGCCTTGTTGTCCGCGCCCAGGGTGTAGATGTGCGTCTGGTCCGGGGACAGGTGGACGGTCAGCGCGGCGCCCGTGTGCGCCGTCCAGTCGCTGATGCAGCCTTCCATACGGCCGTCGTAGACGCGCACGTGGCCGTCGCTGCAGGCGCACAGCAGCAGCTGGCCGTTGTGGTTGAACTCGGCGCTGCCGCAGCTGACTCCGGCCGGCAGGCTCAGCGTGCACTGGGGAGGGGGGAGGGGGAGGTGTCAGACTGTCAGACTCGGCGTGCACTGGGGGGGGGGGAGGCGGGGTGTCAGAGCCGCCGACACCACCGCCGGCAGGCTCAGCGTGCACTGGGGTGGGGGGGGGGGGGGGGGCGGGCGTAGAGCACCGCAGGTGTCTTCAGCATAGTCTTCAGGTGGTAGAGGGAGACCAGAAATGACATGCACATTGCACAACGGTTTAAAATCGGTAAAAAGTAGTAACGTTGATTAAAATCAACAATTTTGTATTTTAATCCATCAGGCGGTGGGCCTCCCGGCCACCTTCCGCGCGGTGGGGGGGGGGGGCATTCCCCCCCCGGTTCTCCGAAACTACTGGACGGATCCGGAAAATTCAAACGGCGTTCGATAGCCCTGTCAAATTTGTCAAGAGAAACCAAAATTCATTGTCCTCGGGGTCACCGATGACGTCACAGGTCAGGTCAAAGATAAAATGTTTCACCGTTCACGGGGCTTCTAGGGAAAGCGCTATAACACCGAGTAAAACGCATTTTGTCGAAAATCAGCGATAGGGCGTCAGTTGTCTAGTACATATGTTGCTAATAGAGGTCACTGGTCATACCAGGTCAGGTCACAGGTCAGGTCACCAAAGGTCACCAAGGGTCACCACCACATGAACCCAACTTTACTACGGTTGTGCGATGCATGATTTATGGCCAATTTTTCATTTCCAACTCAATGGTGTTGGTTACAAGACCATCAGGTACGGTTTAGGTCACTTTCTGGTGGAGGTCAGGTCAAGGTCAGGTCAAAAAAGGTCAAATTTCAAAGTTGATAGTTTTGCATAAAATGGGTATTGATTCGATGCAGCTCGTCACGGGGAATCTAATGGTGGTCTTTGTTTTGCGCTACGAGGTCTATAATTGCTAAAAATTGAGCTTAAAAATTTGACGTCATCAATTTTGAACAGTTTTTTTTTCGCTATAACTTGGCCAAAAAAAGAGGTATCTATCTCCAATTTGGTATGTAGCTAGAAGGCGATAGGGACTATTACCTATATTACGGCTTTTTTCGAAATTCAAAAAACTTTTTGGATTTTTTCGGCTATTATATTCAAAAAATCTATTTTTTTATTTTTGGGGGTCAAAATCCAATAATTTCAAAAATCCGATATAGCAGTTTTGTAGCCCTGTTAATTCTACACCTTCTATGTCTGCAAAAACATTTTTCTGTATCTCTAAAGCTGTAGGCCTGACAGCTCTTCCCGCGAAACCTTTTTTTGTCGAAAATGGCAGAAATGACGTCACTCTGGCGTCATTAGCGGCCAACCTATCATAGCCTTTGGAAAATTTTGGTCACAATGTGCAATAGCTATTCACGGGAGGGTACTGAAAGTTTGGTAACGATCGGCGCAGCGGTTCTGGAGATATATGGAAAAAACTAAGGGGGGGGGGCAAAAAATGCCCCCCCCCCCACCGCCTGGAAGGTTAACCATTTACCGTCACATTTCGAAGCAACATGGCTCACTATCTACTTCTTTGGCACGTGCATGCATGCATATGGCATATGCATCGAGTTGTATCCATAGACGAATGAAGATATTCTCAATTCAAGGTATATCTTTCGGCTGCTAGTCGTTAATCGTTTTTAGTGAAAACAAGGAAACGACTAGTAGCCTACTGATCTCAGGCAGCTTTTGCCAAATTGTCAGGGAACTCAGATTTGTTTTTCAATAGAAAAACACAATTCTAAAGAATAGTGTTTTAACTATTGACAACAAACCTTCGGTTAAAAAGCGTGCATTGAATTCATATATGTCTAGTCGTAAAAGTTTAAAATCATACATTACAGAAGATATTCTCGTTCCAACAGCGCGGCGCCCCTCCAAGTTCAGCGATGACCATCAGGATACAGTACCGCCTCAACAAACCCGCAGACTGGCACGTTTTAGCCCCGTATACATAGGGATTGTTGCAAGCTTATAGATGCTTCGCCCATTACGTTGCAAAAGATGCCAATGGTGCTTTATAATTTACCAAATTGTCCCCTCTAAATATACAAAGATCGCTGCATCGAAATTGTCGCAAAATAAATGAGCTAGAGCCTCGTCAAAATACTATGCAAACGCAACTATTGCTCAAGCGCCGTAATGTTAATAAGGTAACGAGTACGAAGCAAACCCCAACAGGAATTCAGCGCGGCTTAACAGTGAACATCGAGCGAGACGGTCGATAATCCGGCCAAGATCCGGCATCAAAACGTCGGCAAATGTCCAAAACCTACGCAGCCGGCAGGGTTCGAACCTGCGCGGGGAGACCCCATTGGATTTCAAGTCCAACGCCTTAACCACTCGGCCACGACTGCTCGCCAGCAAACGGGTAATAAGGGTTTTGATAACATAAACATTATCGCAAAATTGCAGTTGCCATAGTGGCACAACATTAATTGCAAACAAATGACGTGAGCAATGAGCATCCCGGTACCAAGCGGTCTGGATGGTGACGCGACCTTAGCGCCACTCCTGGGCGAGCGGATCACTGAAGTCGGCTCGGTCGGGCAGCCCGGTTAGAATCGCTTTGGGAACATGCTGCCTCTTTTTTAGGGCCAACAAGAACCGAGGATTTAGCAGGCCGAGCAAAATAGCATAACCCTTTAGTCCCATCCTATTAAATGCCCTGGTTAGTAACAATAAAGTCTACTTCAATTCGAATTTTTATGAAGGTCAATCATCAACCAAGTAGCGACGTTAGGTATTATTTCAAAAAAAGAACAATGTTTCCTCCCTGAGCTCAATCAATTAAATATGTGTCAAGCATGACAGCACTGGGGAATCGTCCCGCCGCGTACTGACCTCCTGTCGTGAGGCCTTCAGGTCGTAGATGAACAGGTCGGAGCGGGAGGGGCCACTGCTGGCGCGAGAGGTCACTGAGCAGAGCAGCGAGCTGGACGGACTGGCGGCCGCCAGGTGCAGTACCCTGACCGACAGGGAGAACGGTGACGTCAAACAGGACACGGTGACGTCAAACAAACGGGACACGGTGACGTCAAACGGGACACGGTGACGTCAAACAGGACACGGTGACGTCAAACAGGACACGGTGACGTCAAACAGGACACGGTGACGTCAAACAGGACACGGTGACGCCAGACGAGACAACAGTGACACCAAACGGGACGATGGTGACGTCGAGCACGGTCAGCATGCCACTCAGCCATAGCCGTGGGATTATTTCATTTCAGCAAGACCGGCAAGACAGCCTTTTGGATATATAAAAGTTGACATCTAATACATGGCTGTCCTGTGACGACGGTGGGGACTGATATCCAGCCAAAGTAATCTTGCTGACATCCACCTCCTATCCCCCAGTACGGGTGGGGGCTGAATCCTACTACTCTCCTGGCTCCTATCCCGTAGTAGGGACGGAGACTGGGCACTGGCACCCACCTCCTGTCCCGTGGGACGGACGGAGACTCCCACTGGCACCCACCTCCTGTCCCGTGGGACGGACGGAGACTGAGCACTGGCACCCACCTCCTGTCTCGCAGCGCGGGCTGCGCGTCGCCGGTCAGCTCCAGCACCTGTCGCCGTTTGGAGACGTCGTGCAGGCGCACCTCGCCGGACGCCGAGCCGTAGGCCAGCAGCTGTCCGTTCAGCCAGCAGCAGGAGAGCACCGGCGAGCGGCAGCGCATCGTGCACACCTGCCTGACAGAGGACACAGGGCACAGTAACAGCTCAGATACTGCGGGCTACGTGCGACTGAGACATCGTCACTTCACTGAACACTTCCCGCCTTGACTGGCATTGCAAACGGCACTGGACAAGACCACCCAATGACACACTACGCCGACGGGTCGCGTTGGACAGGGGCTCACGTCTTGACGGGCGATAGCGGGAAGGGTCGGTCAGTGTCCCAAAACTTGCCAGTTTGGGTGGGAAGTGGTATCCAAGTGGAAATAAGTTTCCACACTCACCTCCAATTTTCCAGAGCCGTTTTTCACTCCCAATTTCACCAATAAAGAGCATATGTGACTGCGTGGATATTTGCTGGCTGGCTTTAACCTATTTTTTATTTCCTAATCTTATAAACCAGCTACCACATCCTACAACATTCTCAAATAAATTGATGATCCCTGTTATTGCTCTTTTTTGTATCATTCTGACTGATAATTTTCCAATCTCAGCCATGTTTGTAGTTAGGAACATACCACTCCGACACCCATGGCAAAATATAATTTTGGGACGCTGGGGTCGGTCGGGCCTCACCTGGCGGGCGGCGGGGCCGGCTCCCAGACGCGCACGCCGCCGTCCATGTCTGTCGTGGCCAGCAGGGTGCCGGCCGTGTTGAACCGACACTGGGTGATGGCGGAGCGGTGTCCCAGCAGCGACTCCTGCCAGACAGACGGACAGGTGAGCCACCTCAGAACCAGTGAACAAACAGAGAACTATCCGCAAAACGGGACAGCAACAGCATACAGCCTGTAGTGTTTTACGATGCATAGATGATATCCGCATCACCTCCATATTGTTCAGCAGAGTTCACCCTCTATCCCGCACTCACAGTGACACCCACAATTACTGATCTATCCACTCCCTCTCCCTCCCCACTCCGCCCCACCACGGACCTGTCCCAGCAGCACGGGCCCGGTGCCGCCGGTGTCGGGCAGCGTCTCGGCGACCTGGGACTGCCCCGCCGCTGCCGCCGGGCGCCGGCCAGCCGAGATGGAGCGGGCCACGCGCGGGGGCGCCACCGGCTCCGTCCGCGCCGCCGCCGCACCGCTGACCGACAGACGGTCAGGACAGGTCAGACGGATGTCACATTAAGAAGCGGCATCGGCAGTTACATGTCTACAAAAAGTTACCGGCCCCGACATCCAATCAGAGCCAGCCCTTGGGACTGTTTTTGGCGTGCGAGCTTTGTCGTCCGTGTGCTGTCTAGTAGCAACAATATCAAATCAATCTCTTCATTTTCTCTTTTCAAAACACATGCACTGTGATATCCTAGTCTCCCGCACTCACAGATACTTTTTTGGGTCGCCTTCTTAGGTATGACAACCGGCTCGCTGATAAAGTCCTTGAATAACTGTAAACCTAGTTAGACGATGCATATCGGCACGACCGGCTCCCTCCGTCTTCCGGTGCCCGCCTCACCCGGCGCCGGCGCGGACCGAGCCCGGCGAGCGCCGCCTCGAGCCGGGCGACGTCGAGCCGATAGAGCGCGCGATCAGCGAGCGCAGCTTCGACGACGACGAGCTGTCCACGCTGGGCGTCTCGCTGAAACGGAACCGGCAGCGGCGCTCAGCGCGGTCACAGTGGACTGGGGGCTCGGGAATCGGACGGTGTCGACGCCGCAGGGTTGTGCTTGACTCATGAGTCGAGTCAGAAATTTGACTCAACTCTGACTCAAATGAGTCAGATTTGAGTCGAGTCGGATAAAATGTTGAGCTGTTGAGTTGAGTCAGAGTTGAGTCGGACAAAAATATCAAGGTGTTGAGTTGAGTCAGAGTTGAGTCAGTAAAATAACTTTTGTCATTGAGTTGAGTCAAAAACATTTAGGAACATAAGTCAGCTGACTCAACTTTCTAGAAACAATATATAGTATAAGTTTTTCATTCTCCCCCACTTAACAACTCAGGCCTGGCCCTGCGCCCGGATTTTTTTACCCCCACCCCCCCCGCTCAACAACTTTTTTATCTGAGTCAATTTTGAGTCAACACACTTGACTCAACAAAAAATTTGAGTCAAGTTTGAGTCAACTCATATTTTCACTGAGCCGCTTGAGTCATGAGTCGAGTCAAGGGAAAAAATCAGCTCCTTGTTTGAGTCAGAGTTGAGTCAGGGCATTCTGAAGTTGAATGATGAGTCGAGTCGGCAAAATTTTTTGAGTCGAGCACAATCCCTGGTCGACGGTTTCCGACGTACTGTGTGTCCACGACTAGATAAACGTTGGCCGATAGCTTAGGCTTAGCAAGCATTTGTGCGGTCTCTTGTACAAGACAAAATACATTTGAATGACGATTGTTACTCATTATTGATCGAATCTATCTCCAGATTTAATAAACGTTATCAATAATCATGTACGAAAACCAGAGTTGAGGCAATAGGCATGCTCTTTTTGCTACTTGCTTCCACTCCATGTACCGTCATGGCGGCGGCTCTCCAGCACCGGCCCACCCTCCTGAGGGGAGGGGGGGGGGGGGTGATCTCGGGGCGGCCGGTCGGCCCGACTCACTGCGCCACCACGTTAAAGTCGTCCATGATGGGCTGAGCGGGCAGCAGCTCGGGCGGCGGCGCGGCGCCGGCGCCTGTCAGCGCCTCCAGCCGGCTGCGCAGGTCCATGTTCTCGCGCTGCAACTGCAGCATCAGCGCCGAGTCCTCCTGGTACTGGGCCAGCGTCGGGCGCGGCATGCACTGGCGGCCGCCCAGCGGACGTTATGGGCGCACAGGTGAGCAGCCAGCACCACAGCAGATCACGGTATACACGGAGCGCAAAACACGGGGTAAGCTCCGTGGTCTATCACGATAGATCGTGACACGTCATAGCAGCTCAGCCCACAGTCGACGCGTTACCACCGCAAACTGATACAGGCCATGGCAGAATGATACGTAACCATTATAATTTGTTCACATAAAAACACAACATCGAACAACTCAAGATGGCGCTTGGGTTTCGGAAGGGCCAGCTTACCTGAAAGACAATGGCCAGGAAGTTATGGAGCGACACGGCGAGTGTGTCCTGCCACTGGCGACTGAAGAAGACGGAGAACGTCGGGTGGTCCTCGGGCGCCTTCAGGAATGGTAGCGCTGCAGGCACGGACGCTAGTCAGGCAGAAAGGAACACCCAGGCTCTCACCGAAAACCATGTCGCAACAAAGAGGATCCTGAGCAAAAAACCGAACCAAAATCGATTCTCAAAACGACTGAAAACCTCGTCAAACCAATGCTGACCACTGTCGCAACTGCAGCGCTTACCGAACCAGTCGCGCCACTCGGGTCGGTTGTGAATCTCCGGAGCCATCTTCTCGAAGAACTCGTGGACCTTGTCGCGGTTGCGGTTGCCGGCCGTCTCAGTGGACGAGGCTGCCTGGACCACGTACCGCCGCATCAGCGCGATACCCAGGTCCCGGGCGGCTGTGGGAGCAGAGCACACAAGTCAGAGCCTCAGAGCCCAGAGGTTCCAAGCAGCTGCTGCAGCAAAGCACACGTCATGAGCGGACAGCAGATGCCAGAGCAAAGCACATATGTCACAAGGTACTGGACAACAAAGAACACATGTCCCAGACCCAGATCGTGGGCAACTGCTACAGTTACAGTAATCTCAAAGGTCTTGGGCAGCTGCCAGAGCAACATACGAGCAAACAAGTACAGCAAACAAGAGAGCAAATGGGAATAGAGTAGACAGAAGCACATTAAAGAGATACAGTGAACCATGAAAACTTACCAATAATCTGATGAGCTTCCAAGTGCCTAAATATGTGTTTGTCTAAGTGAGACCACATTGTTCTTAGCTGCTGCAGCTCAAGGTTTTGAACACTGGACATGAGAATCTCCATTATCTTATCAACCTGAAATGAAATTATTGTCAATGTAAGGTCCATGGTACCTAAGCTCATGTCCAAATGAATAGCGAGCAGTCAACAGGGTTCTAAACCACTCTATTCTTCTTCTCATGTTGAGGAACTAATTGATCTCCTCCTGTTGCTAATTGAATTGACTGTTACCTATATTTATTCAAGAACTTGTATCAACCATTGACCAATCCACCACCCATAAAGAGACCATAATTACTTCTAGTATGCAGAGTAGTCAAGAAAAATATGAGTCATAAACAATAATACAAATCAAAATGCCTATTTATGCAGGACACTAATTTACTTACCCGGAAACCATGATCCTTGCTGGCTTTAGCATCAGAATCAAAACTCTTTAACGCAGTAGCAAATCCCCTTGATACTAAATATTCCCTAACCAATGTGTCGGTGAACTGGACATGAGCCATCTTGGTCTGAAAAACAGCAGAGTAAGCATTTGTCACCTATTTTACATCAAAGAGCTTTATAATGTTCAGAGATCATAGCCAATGAAATTAATGGTGTGAAGTGCTTTAGCAAGGAACATAGTGAGAATAAATACGTGAAGAATCATTGACCTTTTCCTCGAAGAATTAAAAACAATGCCAAAAGTTATATTTAATGCGGTGAGCTTAGCTTTTGGCCACAAGCCTTCATCAAACCAACAAAATGACACAATACAAAATTCAACATTCATGAATTTTGTATCGTGTCAGTTTGTTTCAAAATTCATGAATTTTGAATTTTGTATCATATCATTTTGTTGGTTTGACAAAGGCTTGTAGCCGAAAGCTCACCGCATTAAATATAACCTTTGGTATTGTTTTTCCATCTTCGAGGAAAAGGTCTATGAATCTTAACATATTTATTGAGATCATAGCCACTTACATCAGATTCTAGCAAAGGAAAAACTTCTTGGATTGATCTTCAAACCACATTCAAACATTTAACAAGAATGCCTTTCTGATGTGATATTTGAGAATTAATATGCAGAATTGAGATTCCAGGACAAATCTTCGTATGGCATTTCTTCGTCGCGCAATTCTTCGTCCGCATTTCTTCGTCCGCAAATCTTCGTCGGCGCATTTATTCGTGTCGCATTATTTCGTCTCGCATTTCTTCGTAAGCGCAAATATTCGTAGCGCATTTCTTCGTTTCCGCATTTCTTCGTCGGCGCATTTCTTCGTCAAGCATTTTTTCGTCCACGCATTTCTTCGTCTACGCAAATCTTCGTCCGCATTTCTTCGTCCACGCAAATCTTCGTCTACGCATATCTTCGTCCGCAAATCTTCGTCCCCGCAAATCTTCGTCCGCAAATCTTCGTCCGCATTTTTTCGTCCACGCACTTCTTCGTCTACGCAAATCTTCGTCCGCATTTCTTCGTCCACGCAAATCTTCGTCTCGGCAAATCTTCGTCCGCAAATCTTCGTCCGCAAATCTTCGTCCGCAAATCTTCGTCCGCAAATCTTCGTCCGCGAATCTTCGTCCGCGAATCTTCGTCCGCAAATCTTCGTCCGCATTTTTCGTCCACGCATTTCTTCGTCCACGCAAATCTTCGTCCGCAAATCTTTGCTCGGGGTTACATGAGCAGAGTTAATACGCATTACAAACGGACTACAATGGTGAGCGAATAGGAAAATCCGTTCCTGATACGCATTTACTTGCTCATGTAACCCCGGTATTTGTCTGCGCATATTTTCGTCCGCAAACCTTTGTCTGCGCTATCTTCGTCTCCGCAAACATTCGTCCACAAATGTGGTTCAATAAAACCATGAAGAAATATCAGACCATCAAGTGAATGACAAATTTAATGCATGGAATGGATGATCGATAGGGGAAGCCGGGGGAAGCCCGGCATAGTAAGCTCTTTTTCATTTTTATTACATACCATACGTGCTGTATAAAATGTTGATATCCCGTTAGCTAGCTAAGTTCATTGGCCGTGTTTTCCCAAAAATTCGGTTTCGTGGAATAAGTATAAGGTTGAGAAAATCGAGTTTTAAAAAAGTGTTGATTTTTCTGGGGTAAGCCCGGCATAAGGGTAACGCCGGCCACCTCCCCAGCGCTTTACAACGAGTTGATGAAACCATTATGTGTCTTCCAAACATTAACGGAAAGTGAAATATTAAGGTACTGATTAGCTCTGGACATCTTAGAGCTTATGTCACTACTGGTATTTTAGCTAGCGTCTACCACATATACAGTACAGGTCGATGAAAATCGTGATGCAAAATTGACAAAAAATGTGTATTTCAAAATTCCTTAAAATTTATTTTTCTTTTTACCTTAATGCACCATATTGCATATCATTCGACTCGGCTGATGAAGAAGAACACAACGACACCATTTTTGAAGCTCTAGCTTCATTGTCTGTCGCGTTATCTGCAAAAACGTAGTTTGACCCTAGTTGACCTTAAGTGACATGACTGGCTTTGTCTATGATAACATGTTTATTTTCGAAATTTATCTTTGATCTAGGTGTAAACCAATCCTGCTCAGTACCTATTATCTCATGGAAAACAGTGGTTCAGTGGCATTGCTCTCGGTTGGGGGTAAGCTTGGCCACTCGCCCGGGGTCACCCCAATGTGCTAATTTTTATTTTAGAACAGCGATATTCGAAAAAATGTCATACTTAAGCCAGCCTGCCTCGTCACCCCTCACTACAAACACTTAACCCGGCCGGGCCCGGGGGGTAATCCCAACCACCGCAGCCCGGGGGGGGGCGTTTTTCGCCCCCCCCCTGTCTAACTCCGTAAATAAGGGAGCTACGGAAACAAAAGCGATACCAAACGAAAGGTCCTTACGAGACGATTCTAATGCACCTAAAATTTTTGACCTCAGGTCAATTTTCAAGGTCAGAGGTCAAGGTCAAAGGCCAAAACCGGCACATGTGTAGTGATCTCAAAGTAAGCCTTCTAGAGGACGGCAGGCTGCATCAAACCGGCAAAATTGGGTGTCAAACGAAAGAAGAGAATCTGAGGATTCTGAAAATGTGCTCCAAATTAAAGGTCAAGGTCAAGGTCACGCTCAAAATTGACCTCAAACTTGGCACTTTTTCGCACATCTTGCGTGCTAACTTCCAAGATGTTTTGAAATGTTTTGAGGCTTATCAGTTCCCTATTTGTGGTTCATCTTACGATACAAGGCTGCTCAAAGGTCAAGGTCACAGAAGAGTATCCCTGCTAGAGGCTATTTCACTGATTCAAGTTAGTAATAATAAATAAGACAATTTTGCCATCCGGAAGCTCTAAATGAAGGCTTAGAGGAAAATAGATGCCAGATTCGTGATCAGCGGGTACAAATCCATCATAAACGACCTTTAATGTGTCAAGGTCAACCAGAGGTCATTCGAGGTCACATGAGGTCAACATGAAACTTGACCTTTTCCTAACAAAATATATATCATTCGACGCGGCTTGACAAGGCGAATGCGATGGTACCACTGCCGTAGCTCTAGGACCATTTTTGTCGAAGTTATTTGCGAAAAACTAAAACCACATTTCGGGGTCGTTGACCTGACCTCTGACCTCAGGTCACCAAAACTATTTTTCTATTTTTCTCTAGGTCAAACGCTACACAGCCGTGCTCGTAATTTGTCTTTATCTCTAAAACTCTATTTTTAGCAGCTATTTGAAGTTTGCGTCTGTGATGCCGAAGTTTGCCGTGCAGGGGTCTAGAAAAATGGACCTTGTGACGTCATCAAGGGGGTTAGGTCCAAATTTTTTACTTTAGAAGATGTCAAATTGATGGGAGAAAAGGTACTGAAAGTTTCGCCTTCCTATCCCTAAGCGTTCTGGAGTTATCGCAAATATTCGCCAGGGGGGGGCGAAAAACGCCCCCCCCCCGGGCCCGCGAGGGTTAAACGGTCCTTACATAACATTCGTATAAATATTAGTACTGTATGGTATAACATTAACAGTGCAACATATCTCACTTTTTAGCTAAAAACCCTTAAAATATCATTTTTGCGCTATAACTTTAACAATATGCAATTTTTGTTAGCCTTAACTTTTTGCTGGCGTTACCTTAGCTGCCACGCTGAAAGGACAAACAGTTGAGCATTTTATTGTGAATAATTTAACCGGAAACGGGGTGGCCGGGCTTCCCCCGCGCCCGGGCTTCCCCCGGCTTCCCCTACTTTTGAAGTAAGGTAGATGAGGTCAGTCAGGTGAAGCTATTGTATTTGGGAGCCGACAATTGTAACATTCTATATCATTTGTGTCCCGGACATTCTTTTTTTTCGCGGTCGATGAATGACAATATAATCTCTTGTACCCTCGCCGGCATAGGCGGCGGAACGGGGAGGGCACCGTTCCCCTCTTTCATTTTGGCCTTTTAACAGTAGCCCTATGGTCGTTGCATGGAAAGAATGGGACTGAAAGTCGGCAGTGCCGTGCCCCCCCCCCCCTTAATTGAAGGTGTTCCGCAATCCGCCGCTACTGCTCGCCGGACCTATTTGTTTTCTACATACACGCCGGCGGAGGGGGGGACGGGTACGACCCCCCCCCCCCCCATCGCCGTTTCGCCACTGGTGGAGCTAGCGCGTCGCGGAAAACACGAGCGTGTGCGCCGTTACGAGACGCAGAGATTAATACCCGATTTTAAGGCCTTCTAGGTCAGGGGTCGGCTTACGGCCCGCGGGCCGGATCCGGCCAGGTGGGTGACGGTTGGATCCGGCCCGCGACCATCTGACGTCCGGCCCGCGGCTGGTATCAGCGACTTACATCGTGTTCCGGCCCGCGGTTCCTTCAGAAATCGACTCCGATATAAAAGTGACTTAAATGTGCTTTGGCACAATAGTTCTTCCTTCGTACACTTCATGAGTTTATAAACACCATTTGCGGGTGTTTTTGTCTAATTCTACTTCTAGACAAAACTTGCAACGGTAAGATTTGGTCAGCAGCTTTTGCGCGCAGCGCATCAACGACTGCTGGCTGCGTGCACTTGGCGGCTTCACGTGGTCTACTCGTTTAACCTTCCAGGCGGTGGGGGGGGGGGGCATTCCCCCCCCCCTTTAGTTTTTTTTCGATATATCTCCAGAACCGCTGCGCCGATCGTCACCAAACTTTCAGTATCCTCCCGTGAATAGCTATTGCACATTGTGAGTCTGTGACCAAATTTTTTCCAAAGGCTATGTTAGGTTGGCCGCTAATGACGTCAGAGTGACGTCATTTCTGCCATTTTCGACCCAAAAAAGGTTTTGCGGGAAGAGCTGTCAGGCCTACAGCTTTAGAGATACAGAAAATGTTTCAGACATAAAAGGTGTGGAATTATTAGGGCAACAAAACTGCTATCTCGGATTTTTCAAATTTTTGGATTTCGACCCCTAAAAATAAAAATAATTTTTTTGAATATACCTAAGAGCCGAAAAATCCAAAAAGTTTTCTGAATTTCGAAAAACGGAATAGGTATATGTGATAGATCCCTACCGCCTTCTATCTCCATATTA